TTTCCTTTAGAATATTTAGGTAACAGACTAGGGGTCATTAATTATGTGCATTGATAATTTCCAACAAACTAGTGTGCCTGTGATTCTTTCCTTTAGAATATTTAGGTAACAGACTAGGGGTCATTAATTATGCGCATTGATAATTTCCAACAAACTAGTGTGACTTTATGATTCATTCTATTAGAATATTTAGGTAACAGGCTAGGGGGTCATTAATTATGTGCATTGATAATTGCCAACAAACTAGTGTGTCTGTGATTCATTCCTTTGGAATATTTAGGTAACAAACTAGGGGTCATTAATTATGCTCATTGATCATTTCCAACAAACTAGTGTGACTTTATGATTCATTCTATTAGAATATTTAGGTAACAGACTAGGGGTCATTAAATACGTGTATCGATCATTTCCAACAAACTAGTGTGCCTGTGATTCATTCTATTAGAATATTTAGGTAACAGACTAGGGGGTCATTAATTATGTGCATTGATCATTTCCAACAAACTAGTGCGACTTTATGATTCTTTCTATTAGAATATTTAGGTAACAGGCTAGGGGTGGTCATTAATTATGTGCATTGATAATTTCCAACAAACTAGCTAGTGTGTCTGTGATTCATTCCTTTAGAATATTTAGGTAACAGACTAAATTTACCCCAGACCAATTGTACCGTGCTTTGAATTATTCAAACAACAAAATATGATTATGCATCACCCATGCGCATTAATGCGCATGATCAGTTCAATGTAGGTCAACAAACATGGCGACCTGGTTAGTAATCGGCATTTTGGGACTTGTCGTCAGTATTATTTTCACAGTCCTCTTCCTAATCGCGTATTCTGGTTTGTTTCACAATATTGAGATAAAAGCGGGCAAACCACCGTTCAAGAACCTTCGTATTGCGTATAAATGTAGGAAGGGGCCTTACAAAAACGCGGGAGATCTATTCACGGAGTCAGCGAAGTTGGCTCCTGGTAATCGATGCCTGGGTGTTTATTATGATGACCCTCATCAGGTGAGTGAGAGACACCATGTTACGCACAGCATCAACGTGACCTTATAACATAATCGACTATTGTTTGCGAGATTATTTACACTACTGTGAGGTTCGATACAATTATTGTCCTCGTCTAAGGACAATATCAAGAATTTCCTTTACTCGGGCGGCTGTTATTGGTCAAAGCCGAAAGTTGAAGTCAATTACAGCAACTTGACGAACGATAATTCTTGATATTGGCCTAAGCAATGGACAATAACTGTTTTATATCACCCTAAAATAGAAAGACGAGACAGTAAGTAGTGGCCGAAATTGTTCACACCAAAACCCAATCTTTCAAGCTCCTGTGAAGAAATTGTGATTTGAAAGTGTGACATTCACATCTTGCTGCACTCTGCAACAATCGATAAGAGGCACGAATACTCAGAGTGGCCGTATCAACATATATTTGTTTACAATTTTATTAAACTTTTATAACTGGCTTTGCAATTCCCACCACGGTTCAAAAATAATGTCACCAATTTAAAATTCTATGCCCATTTTTCAGAAATCTAAAATCACTTGGGATCATTTTGTTTACATTGCATGCGTACTGTTTACATTTGAAGTTCTGATAATTTTAATAGGCATACTATAATTTTAATACAACATACATGTACGCTCACCAAAATACCCATCAAATATTATGTTAATATGACAGAACCTTTTAGCCTAGTCCTGTATTTGTGGGAGTTATTTTCACGAGTGAAGTGAAAATGTGAGTGAGAATTCATCAAGAATACACTGCATCACAAGTAAAAATAACTTACATACTCCACAAACATTGGAGTGAGACCATGAGGTTCTGGTCTAATTACACGCGTTCCAAGACTTTATAAGAATTACGGCAACTTGATTAAGGCAAGGGTTGTGACTAGTTTTAAATTCTGTTCAGGGATTGGTTCACCCAACTTTCTGTTCTATTCATCTGCAAATGTTTTCAGATGCGTGCTCAACCACAGTGTTAGCAATGACAATACTGACTAGTAAATGCAGCAAACAGGCCACATTCAATAGCTTTTCAAAATAAAAACATTACACTATAATCCACCAATATTGTATGAGACATGGTGCAAAGGAGATGTTCAGCTAATGTGATTGGCAAATTAGTCAATGAATAACATACTTATTTGCATATCGCCAGTGAAAATACAGGTCTGTTTTTTAAACCAATTAGTTGTAGTTTCTGATATTCTATAATATTTGTTATAAAGTATTTTTAATGCACATATGAAAGTATTTCCTGGAATACTACACAAAAGCCAAATAAATAAACATGATTATGTCTTTTTGCTCATTTGCATATCGTCAGTCAAGATACATAAGATACATACTACGTTCATGTTAAGGAATCTCGGCACATGCCTAAATTTTTAATCCGTTGTGTTTGCAGAAAGATTACACCAGTTGTGTTCACGTTATTTGGGACCCACTTAGGACTGACTCCGCTCATGCCGAAATCACGCCCTCATTGGTCGATCTGTTGGCTCAAACACGGAAAATGATACGCATATGATGATAATGATTGTTATAGTGAAATTATATCCATTTGTTGCTATGGTGTTTATTACGAGCCATCGTGCACATGAACGGCAAAGAAGATTTGAAACACAATTATTTTTTTCACATCAATGTAGTATTACAAGAAAATAGCGGTTGCAGCAGCACATAAATATGCGTCAATGACGATGGTTTGCATTCATTTCATTCATTACTACAGAATCCGACCATATACTAGTATATCTTAATTACCTGTCATCGTCATTTCATACTAGTATGAATCAACTTATGTTTTTCTTAAATTTACCACAGAGGGTGTGATTTCGACTTGTGCCAAGTGTTCAGGCAGCAAATCTCGGCACGTGCCGAGTTTTGGTCCCAACCATCTATCGGGACCGAGATTGAGTTCTTTGCGGCTGACGCCGACTTGGTCCCGACTATTCACACACAAGTTTCGGCACGTGTCGACTCATTGCCGAGATCTCTAACGTGAACGCCACTACAAATGCACTAAGTATGTTTGCAAGGGTGCAACAAAGTAATCTGCAATGCACATGTAATAAGCAAATTTACTGATTGAACCTGGACAAAAAAAAATCATTATTCTCATAATGGTGGGGATCCTAATGAGTCGGAGTGAGATGTAAAGTTCACAACTGGTAAATTAGGGGTTGGCAAATATTGTATTCACTAACATTAATTTTGTTGTTCTCATTTTCCCCGATTATTTTTCATTCTGCAGTCATCTGTCAAAGTTTTAATGTTTGTTCCTTTATCCTCAAACTTATTTTGCCTAAAATCCTTCAGTCTATCACAGTTTACAAGATCACATAAACGGTTCCTGCTGTATATCGTATCCAGTACTTGTATACTGTATTTTTCTACTTAAATACCATCTGGTGAAATGCCAGATTTGTTGCAGATGATTGTACTGGTAATGTGAATTTTGTTTAAAATCTACTCCAAAAATCTACGTTGACGTTGACCTCCAGTGTCTACCTGTTGTTCTTGAGTCCCACGTTGATTATGTCCCAGCTCGTTTACTTATTTGTCAGTTTCAGACAGGCTTAAAAAATGTTATCAAGAAAATGGAAGATAAGTAAAAAGAATGCAGAAAATCAGTTTGCTGGTTTCTTGTTAACAATCTAAAGTAATTGGACAAAACTTTGTTATTTTGGGCTCAACATTTTTTTTTGTAGAAATGCAAGAGCAGTAAGACTTGATTATCAAGGACTCAGGTCATTTTGATCAGACGATTTCTTTTATTGTTGTACCTCTAAAAACACAGAAGCATTGTTTGGTGATCACAGATAATAAAGCATGTTTTTGTGTCAATCTCCAAATTTTAACAGTTCTTCATTTGAACTACTTCTGTATAATGAGTCCTCAACTCCAAAATTTAATAATGTGTTTATTGCATCTTTGATTGTAGCAGAACTTGAAATCATTTACCGGTACTTGTAGTCCTGGGAAGGTACTCTCTAAACCCTTTATTTTGCCCCACTCAAATTATGGTAAATTTGTTCAAAGTTTCTTTAAATTTTCACTGAATTCAATCATAATTTTGAACCAAACAGACAAAATGTGACATCGCTTCTAGTTGTTGATAAAAAAATTAGATTCTTTTGCAACATTTTATGTCGAAAAAGTAGTCTATAGATGGAACTGTATTATGGATGGTGCCTGAAATTGACGTTTGTGCTCATACCAATATGTTCAAACATTGTACAGTGATGAAATTATATAAAGTGTCTACTCTTTTGCCAGGTTGCTGCCGAGGAGCTACGTTATATCGTTGGTGCAGTTCTGGCTGAGGGAACTGAGGAACCTGACAAAAAATTAGAAGCGAAGTTACTTGAAAATGGATACAAAATAGCTACGCTACCTAATATAGACTATGCTGTAACCACATCATTTCCTTTTGTCACTGCCATATCTATTTACATTGCCATTTTCCGAGTGTATCCTTTGCTTGGGGACTACGTTAAGGTAAGTTTCGTGATTACTAAAGTAGTAATCTTAGTGGTGTACTACATGTTTCTCGTTACCGGTAGATGTCTGAAGTTAGCGAAATCACAGAGCTGCTTTGGAAATATTCTCCAGCAATTACAGTGTATGTTAGTCCCATTCTAAATTGTAAAGTGATGTCATCTACAAATTAGAGTGTTTGTTTCTCCATTCTTAAGATTTCCTGCTACTCACAATCATAATGACAATACCTTTAGGGATAATAGCTACAACTTTTTAGATTGTTTTTATATGCTCTGTGTTCTTTAATTGTTTTTACGCATACAATCAAATATATTTTCCCTAAAGTTATTTCAACCTGATTAGTTTCTTTCAAAGTGAGGCTCTTCCTTCTTTGTGCTATTAGTTGAGAACGTGATTATAGAAATAACATTATGTGCTTGTATTGGTGATAATTCTGATGGGAAGTCGGGCTGAAAATCTGCACTTCTAAGAACTCAATTACTTCACAGACTTGGTTATATTGCTACAGTCAATCTTGATATAGAAACTGGGTACAGACATAATTTGAATCACTTCGAGAGAACGTGTAATTTGTGAATCTTTCTATATCGAGGATGAAGTTTACTTTTGAATGCTCCCTATATCAAAACCACAGGGATATGCATTGGTCATGTTGGTCTACGCTTCCCAAGACGAGTGTAACTACAATTTTACTGACCCTTTACCAGCTTGGTCCCAAATGTAATTTCTTTTCATCAAAGATCCTTTACCGGTACATAGGTTTCTGACTCCGGAAAAATGTAATCCAATAGACCAGTGATGGTTATATTTTTATATTTCTTTAAATAGTTGTGTATTTTTTATGATTGGTTGGTGGCCTCTATATAATAATAATAATAATAATAATAATGATTACTTTAAGTGTCCAGGAGGCATACAGGCTTGTTCATATTTAAAAAGTTGTTGTGATGCATTTAAAGAAAACAGACAGACACTACATGTACATGTGTTTGTCTCAGTACTGCTATTTGAAATAATACTGGATGACCTGAACAAAGTTTCAGAAATATCATAGTGTATACTGAAGACAAAGTAAAATATTGTTTTTGGCTTACTTGTGTTTGGGAATGCTCAAAATAGTAAAAGGTTTGTGTATTTTACTAGAGATAAGTAAATTCATTATACTGTACTTCTATATGCTTTGTGATTCTTATTACAGAGACAAAAACTTTGTGCTCGTCCAGTTTTAGAAATGTACTGCGATGACGTGATCCATTTCTGGGCACCATTAGCTAAACAAGATGAGTTCTACGTCGCTGGCATTGATGTCATTCAGGATGAAATGGAACAGGATGACGATGGAGGAAAACTTAAAGAAGGGGAAAAGATTGTTAGTGGCGGCGATCCCAATGAGAAAACACCTTCTCTAAGTGGAAGTAGTGGTATTTCAGGAAATGGAAGCACTTCGGGGAGTGGAAGTGCTTCGGGAAGCGGAAGCGAAAGTCCTTTTGAAGAATTGGATGTAACAGAAGATTTTGAAGAGGAAATGAGAAAGATGCAAGGTAATGAGCAACAACTAATAGATGGAGTAAAAGATGAGAAAGAAGATGGAAGTGATGACAGAACTGGAATAGAAGTAGAACAGCCGGAGAAATAATAAGCATCACAGAATCATAAGTGTTCGAAAATGAAGAGACGGATAGTTGAGACAACACACCTGGATGTACATCTTAATTGTTGCTACCCATGTCACTGGAGACAGTTCAGACAAAGTAGTTTACCATTCAGAAGCACTATAGATAACTGTTATTATTAATCATCTGCCAATAAAGCTCCATATGTTGCTGCATGTCACACAGGGTATCTATGTTCTAACTTTCAAATAATAAATGATTTCCAAAAATGTATTCCTCTGTTTCAATTGGAATGGAGTGATGCATTATAATAAGATTGGTAGCACATGCACTTATGTAACTGACACATGTGTGTCTTATATTGTCAAAACAAGTCATATTTCAATGATCTGGTATAGGCAGTCACACTTGTTTACGTTTTGTGCATAGTAACTAAATAGCAAGAACCTGCCATTCACACTCAAAAATAAAGTAACAGTGTTGTTCATTGCTGCTGTTATTAAATATACATAAACGTGTTCCTGTTAATAAAAAAAATTGGGCAATGTTATCACAGCCTATGCTGATCTGTGAGTGACACTTGTTATCGCATATTTGCATCCCTGTTGGCAAATATGTAAATATATGACGTCACAGTGCAACGGCCTATACTATAAATCCATCTATTGTTTTACATACACTTCTATTGGAGATGAACTTTGAATAAAATAAATACTGTATCATGGGAATACTGAAAAAAAAAAATATGCCCTAGAATTGTATGTAGTCGCATCAACCTCCATGTAAGTCGATACTTATATTTTAGGTCAATAATAAGGTATTGATAAATGCATTGGAATTAAGATTTCCCTGTAAACTAAAACCTATTAAATACTATTGTGCTGTAGTTTATTCCTTATTGGGAAAAAAATGAACATTAAAATGAGAGCTGATACGTTTTTGAAAGAGTAGTCATATGACTCTTTTGGGAACGCCAAGTTCTGTTGTTTTCGCTGCTAGATGTTTAATGATAAAAGTTCTCTATATTATCACTCAAAACTTGATTACCTGGTAAGAGGTGTGTTAGGAAACAATTAGTACCTATGGAAACCAATCATGTTAAGTACATGTACTTTCAACAGACTCGCCAAAATTTATACAAAATACACGTTTAGACTGATACATCATTTGAATTTTTTTTCCTCCGCCATGTTTTCGCATTTGTTAAGTTTGGACCAAAAATTCCAAATTTTCTATTGGCTACAAGACATTTTTAAAAATATTTGGAAAAATATCAAAAGGATTATGCAGGTTTGCAGTGACAAATGTTGAGTTTGACTTTCAAAGAGTTAATTAATTGAGCATTTTATCAAAGCTTTACATTCTGGGTATGTGTATAGATTATAAAACTAAGTGATAAACTGAATTATCATTGAACGTACTGGTAGGTACCTTTTAAATACCAAAGTTTCTTGTTAGTCCCCGTTCGGACATAAGTCCGAAAACGGGGACTTGTGATTTGACCTCCGTGTGTGCGTGCGTGTGTGCGTGCATCTGTGCGTGCATGCGTCTGTGCGTGCGTCCGGACCTGTATCTTACAAATGCCTCGACCAATCACAATCAAACTTCACACATACATCATACGTGATATTATACATATGCATGTCAATTTGTTTCACGATCTGATTCAAGATAGCTAAAAGGCGGCCATTATTGTGCTAAAAATCATCAAAATCAAGCATTTCTCGGCTGTTTACAGATGGATTTTGTTCAAACTTGGTATATACATTAGACATTATAGGACCTTGATGCAAATAATTTTGTTTTTCAGATAAGATTCAAAATGGCCGATTGGTGGCCATTTTGTATTAATGAATGTGGTTCTCGTGCCATATCTCTGACTTGCTTTCACTGATTATGTTCAAATTTTAAATATTCATTATACATCATGTCATAGACAGATATATTGGTTTGACGATCTTATTTTTGTGCTAAAAAATCATCAAATATCGAGCATTTCTGGCATTTATAGATGGATTTCGTTCAAACTTGGTACATACATTAGACATGGGTTCCTGATGCACGTCATTGTATTTTTCAGATTGGATTAAAAATGGCTGACTGGTGGCCATTTTGTTTTAATGATTGGGCTTCTAGAGCCGTATTTCTTAAATGCTTTGACTGATTATATTCAAATTTTATATATTCGTTATACATCATGTTATATATATACTGTACATGTATTCAAAATGGCTGATTTTGAATGCTGTTCCAGAGCAATATCTCTAAATATGGACAAGTACTTGTTTGACGATCATACAAATGTCAATCATTTTAATGTTAGAAAATCATATTCCTGACATGGTTATATTCCAGCTATATTACTATAAACAAAACTATATATCTTAAATTTGATAACTGAGACTGTGCCATGCATGGCTTGTTTTAAATGTTTTTGTGGTCAGTTGACTGTGTCAGACATTCATTGTCAATGTTGTCTCGCCTGACTTTCTCTTTAATGTGCGAGTGCTGATGCATTTTTGCCACAGGATTGTGTGGCCATCTCTCTATCAAGGTGATTTAATGTGCTATTCTGGTGTCAATCAGGTCCGGTCGAACCCAAGCACCTGTAGACCTCCCCCCAAAGTCACATTTGTTATTGAAATGTTATCCCCGTTGAGTCTGTGTCACACTCACCCAGTGTAGGAGTCAACCCTTTTGGTGTTCAGTCTGCTAGGATTTGAACTTGGTCTACCGATCAGGAGTTTGATGCAACAACACCTATGCTACCAGTGTATTATTTATTCAGATTATCCATTCTATAATGAATTCTTGCGGCTATTTGTTAATTGCTTTATCTGCACCTTCATTTGCCATTTAGTGATGATCCAATACGCAAAGTATAAAATGAATAAAAAAAAATGTATTGACCCCTTTTAAGTCCATCTTGAGCCTCATTTTCTTGAACATGTAGTGCTAATCCCTGAATGTTTAATGTACATACAAATTTACACATGGTTATTAACCTCACAGGGACTATGTCATTACTTGTTTCACATACAGTACATATGGTTACTCAAGTGAATTAATATTGTATCCATTGGTTCAATAAATTTAATATCATGCGCACAATAAATTAATGCTATTTTTTCATTGTGAAATGTGCACAATATATACTATTGTTTGCAACTCTCTTGTTTCTACTGATAAAAATTTTACCTTTTTTTTTATAAAGTTGTATTATCGACAACATATTGTTGAAAGTTCTTTGAGTAGCTCGGGCCAATAACCAAATTTGAAAGTTTCAGCATTTGCAGGCCATCCGTGTCCATACCTGACATATTTCTCAGTTTGTCAACTACGTCTGTCATAATTATTGCTAAATTGACACACAATAGAAACACTGGGACCATCTTTACTGAAACTTTCAAACAGCACTGATAAGCTTACAACCAATAATTAAGTATCTACCATACGTGCATGTCAAATGGTGTCATAAAGGTATATATATATATATTTAAAACATTTTTTTTTTCGTAATTTAAATGTTGATACATATAATTGTTAGACATCTGTGTTCAGTGATAGTTGGTTTATATTGAGCTTGTACTTTTTAATAATCTAGAGAAATGAGAGAAATGTTTAGTATATATTTCAGTTAATATCTTCTTCATACTTACTTTTTACCTGGGCCCTCACGTGTGTCATATTACTTAAGTATTGTGAAATACAGAGCAATTCTTTATATTTGCAAAGATCATGCATTCTATTTGTTGCTTCAATATTTTGTACTGTATAGAACTGTTTATTCACTGTGATTCCGTACAGTGTTTTCCTGGGAATGCTCGTCATTGGGCTGTTAATAAATTTGTACAGAGGACATCTTATAAGTAACCCTTCAATACTGTAAAACCATTTATTTTCACTGACTTTTAATTTCACTATTTTGAGCATATTCACTGTGTTTTCATTTCACGAATTTGTCAACTAAAGATAGTTTTATTGTTATTTTACATGTTCATATAGATTTAATTTAGCAGATTTTACTTATCAGCGAAAATAGTGAAATTAAATCCCAGTGAACAATTAATGCGTTTACAGTACCTGAAATATTCAAATTAATATAATATTGTATGAACCACCAATATCTTGAGATACTGCTAAACCTGCATAAACCTCCAAATATTTTTACAAATGTTCTGTAGCCAATAAGAAATTTGCCTGCATTGACCAATTAGATTGCCTGGACTTTTATATAGTATAGTAAGGAGATATAAACAAACTATATTCTGCTTTATTACACTGAACTGAAATGATATATGAGATGAAATGTAACTTATATTTAAGGTAGAATTTATTTTCACTGAAATAGGAAATGGAATTTACACTGGTGTGTCATCAATCACATGAAAGATGTAAGTGGACCAGCAGTTGATCAATTGATTTAATTATCATTGACCTACACTTTCAAGAAATTCCGAAAATTCCAGTGAAAATAAAGTATTTTACATTATACCGATTGAAAAAAGTTTTTAATATTGTCTCTTGAGAAATAAAAACCTGTTATTCCGTGCACTGGTGTCTTTACCGTACTTACCACTTCAAAAGGCTGAACTTGTCTTTGCTATAATTCATATATTGCCTTGATAAATCATTGATGACCAAAACATTTTATTTTATGTTCATTGAGAACATGGCTAGATGGTATTATTAGTTAACCAATCATAGAGCAGAATAGAGTAAGAATATCTCTAACACGTATTTTGATTGGGTAAGAAGTGGGGTGTGGTTAGTTTCTGAATAATATGAAATGTGTTTCATTTTTTGGCTGCGACTTTTATATATCTTTCGCACAAATATAAGACTACTAATGTTGTATCGATATATATTGCTTTTCTCTAATCTGTGATATTCGTACTTACAATGTTTTTACTATGTTGGTTATTTCAATGTATGTTATGTCATCTTTAGTCAAGAATTAAAAGCAACCATTAACTTGGACCAATTTTGTTCTGTCTGTCTGTCTGTCTGTCTGTCTGACTGTCTGTGCATGCATGCGTGCGTGTGTCTGTCTGTCTCACTGTGTGTGTGTGCGTGCATGTGTGTCTCAAGAACCACTCAAAAGTCATCTGGGATAATGTACAGACCTGATTAGCTTTTGGTGGAAAACTATACATAATAATGTCATAATTTGCCAAAAAAAAACTTTTCCATTGATATCCCTGTATCAACTAGATTT